CGTCGTGAGTTACTGTTGGAATGGAAAGGCTGTCGGCGTCAACATCTTATGATAAGAGTTACCTCATCTGTTTTCCTCCAAATCCAGGAGAGAAATATTTATTGAACACTTTTGCCTCTTCTGCATTATTTTTGATAATTCTACCATTTCCATCTAGTAATTTACCACTACCATTGTTAGGATTAATGTTGTACTTAATATACTTTTAAAAACTTCCTTCTTATTGTCATTGATTGATCATTGATTTCTGATAGCTTCCCTTACCCATTTTCTACAATTCTGACCTTCTAACTTATATTCTTTACTATTGACTTCCCCTTTCTTCCATATATTTTATTTGAAGAGTGTTGGGATTCCTAGCAGGGAGCCACCAGCAGGGTCCAGAGACAGCCCCATCTCCTATATCAATCTCTGGCTAGTAGGTATGTGATAAATGTGAAGACCCTGCCTCCGTCTGTCAGCTGGGAGACACAAAGGTTCTCTCTTCCTACCCTCTGATGCCTCCTGGCTGCTCTAGGCAAGGTGGGGTGGGACTCTGTTAACATGTGCCTCCCAGAGCTTCGATTCACCTGGTGCTGCTGTTCTGTGAATAGTGGGGTTGTGAGTGGGGCAGCAGGTACTGAGTGTTGGCCTCTTGCTCTTTCAGGGGCTGGTGACTTTTGAGGAGGTGGCTGTGTATTTCACCAGGGAAGAGTGGGCTCTGCTGCACCCCACTCAGAGAGCCTTCTACAGGGATGTTATGCAGGAGAACTATGAGACGGTGGTCTTACTGGGTAAGGATTCCCGTCCCCTCCGTTTTTTAGAAGCTGTGGGGTCTCTAAAGAACCTGAGTAGTAATAACTTTATACCTTTATTCATCATACAAGTTTTGACAAGTTTCCTTGCCCCCCTTTTTTTGCCTTATCTCCCACCCACAAGTATAATTTTTGGACATGTGCCTTTTTGGTGTTATCGGCCATTTTAAAATTGCATTTAATGTATCGTTATTGGATACATTAATATCTACATTAATAACTGTAACTTTCATGCCTTTTCCTCATTTTAAGAGGAAAATATGCTGCCTGTAGAATTCTAAATTAAGTAAATAGTGTAGGACTCATGCATGGCTTGTGTGATAATCAGATGACCTCCTCTTTTGATAGGAGAGCGTATAATGTTGACATTCAGGACCCCACAGGTGAAGGGAGAAGAGAGCTGTGGGAGGGGAGGAGAAGCGGGGGAGTAGATAATTTTGGGTTGCCAGGGCATAGGGAGGGTGTGTATAGGATTAGAGCTAAGAAGCAGCAGGGAGGGATGAGGTAGTGAGAAATGAGGAGGGAACACGAGAAGTTCCTAAGGTGCCGGGAGGTGGTGCCGGCTGAGAGTAATGGGACGAAGTAGAGAGGAGTGTGGTGGAAGGGCACCCAGGAAGTGGGCTGGGTGGGTATGTGGGAGGGAGGGAGGAGAGGTTTGGGGATCTAGAGCTTGGGGGATCCCAGACCTTTAACCCCGAATCCCTATCCAAGCGTTGTTGCTTTAGAGCCTACACTCCAGTTTTATTTCTGTTCAGTTTCACTTAATTGTACATATTCCCCTCCAAATATTATTATTATTTTAACTCTTGACCTCCCTCTCTCACTCATTACCCCTCTCCTCATATGACCTCCCCATCTCTATGCACAGCCACCCAGGCCACCGATCCTGAGTCCTTGCAGCATTCCTCCCTCCCATACCAGGGCCCCTACCCAGGCACAAATGGGCACTTTGTTCTTGATGTCACAGGGTGGTAGTGTAGCCTGTACGATTTTTACACCTATAAGATTATGTATTGGAGTACAACTTGTCCTTGTACAAGCCTACTCAAAGTTAATGGAGGAGATGAAATTTGGTGAAATACAGAACTTGATTTAATACAGACAATTATAATTGAAATCATAGGCAAAAATCAATATATATAACTATTAAGGTAAG